TTGTGTGCTCATATATGCACATATGCTTTTGTACCAATATTGTATTTATTTGTCCTTTAATAATATTGTTTCCCCTAATAAGTATTGTCGTCACATCCTATATATCAGTCGGATTATTGTTGATTTTCATAATTGTATCTGTACAATGGCTCTTTCTGCCTGCACTGTCGAGGGGACAACAAGCCAACTTGTTTTTTAGGTTTCACCTGGACTGTGCAGTCGGAACTTGCAACTCTGTTACCAAGACCTTTTACTTTAATACATATTATTACTGTCTTTCTGTGTTGTGTCATCTTTGACTGGAGCACTTCGCGCAATAGACACACTTGCCCATCCCTTTTCCCGTGAGACGTAATTGTTACGCAGCCACAGCAATTACCCAAGTCTTACATTGGCGCCCAACGTGGGGCAAAGTGTCGCAAGCGCTCATAGTACTCCTCAACGGTCAAAGATATACACTCATTGGCACATAAGGCATAATTTTGTATCTATACTCCTACCCTTAGTTGCCTTAGTCAACTAAGAATTCTCAGTACCTCAACCTCATCTCCGATTATTGTCAACATGTCCTCGCTCACGAACTCTGAGCTCTTGGACACTATGTTGTCAATGAAAATTGACCCCAAGCGATCAATTGGAATAATTGGGCTCCCGGAGGAAACAAAAACGGAGTCGGTTGAGGAGGAGTTGTCTCCTTGCTATGGGAAGGTGCTGGTTCTCCAGGTGCTTGATTCTATTAATCAGCTGCACCTCGTGGAGTTCACGAGCCCTCAAGTGCCTCTGAAGCTTGGGTACACTGTACTCATCAGAGAGGAGGAGTATCAAGTTATGAAAGTGAACTTGGTTCGGGAAGGATCCCCTCTAGCAGACGTCGTGGCCAGGGCAGTAGATCAGGCCCTTGACAGGCCCTTGACAGGAAGACGGAGGCGATGAAGTCGCAGATGTTGGAACAGTTCCAACTGCTATTACGACAGCTTCCATCAGCTACGACCAGCGCCGGATCCATAAAACCAAATCCAACAACTCCCACACCTGTTCTGGCGGCTAACGATGTTGCTGCTGCCCACTCAGAATCCCCAGCCGCTAGCGACTCTAATGTTGCAAGCTCGGGTGCTGGGGTTGTGGGTAGCGGTAGCACTGTACGCCCAGACCCACAACAGGTGCTGGTGAATTGGGATCGTCCCTCATCCAGCTTCTTCAGACTGAAGACCTTCTCTGGTACAAGACCCATCAAAACCCGGAGAGGTAGCCTTTGAAGAATGGGCCAAACAAGCAAAGATTGTAATGGAAGATCAGGCCCTCTCAGAGACCGGGAAGCGACAGAGACTCCTTGGCAGCCTCCAGTCTCCAGCCTTCGATATGGCTTTAGGAATCGGAGAGGACAAGACAGTAGTGGACCTCGTCACCTACTCAGGGAAGCTGTATCTAGGATACAATGACGGAATGACCACACTGAAAGAGTTCTTTGCCATGACACCCAGGCCTGCAGAGAGACCATCAGAATACCTCATCCGCCTGGAGCTTGAGCTACAGAAGGTTTTGGCCCATGGAGGGGTTAGCCGGGAGGATGCCAACAGCACACGCCTTCATCAGTTCCGGTCTACCAACCGCAACCAAAGTGTTTATGGACTCCTGAATCTAAAGTTCCCAAAAGGATCATCCCCAGACCTCCCTGATCTCATTGATGCTGTAAAAGAAGTCGAAATGGATGATGCTATGTTCACAGCGAATAAGGTTCGGAGTCATGTCCAGAATGCATCGCCTGCTCTGGGCTCCTCAGAATATGAAAGCCTCAAAGTTGAACTCAAGGCATTGCAATCCATGATGTCTAAGTCCCACATAACATCTGGCACGAAGACTTTAGATGCTCCAACCTCAAATCCCAAGGACACACGTTCCAAGGGCGGTAGGAGAAATAGAGTCTGGCGCTTTTGTCACAATTGTGGAGACTATCTATAATCATCAGAGACAGGGATGCCAAAGTCCAGCGAACCCAGCTTTGGTCTGGGAACGAATGAAGGCAAGAGACGAAGAGAGACACAATCGCTCATCTAAAAAGAGTGATTTAAACTCCACCGGGCCTCTGAAACAGTAAAGGGACCAGAGGCCCAGACGATACCAACTCGTCCCAAGACATCCAATGACCACAAGAGATCTATTGGACCTCTATGTCTGCGCCAGAATTGCAAGATCGAGTTGCCACCTGAGAGGACCATGGAGCTCAGGGGCAAGAATATTTCCCCATACCTGGAGGAAGTTGAGCTTCGAAAACATGAACCCCATCAAGTACCTCCCAAACTTGACATCATTTCAACAGGAGTGGACAATTCTGGCTGCATCATTGTCAAAATACAAAATTGTGGAAACAAAACTTTAACTATTTGATCAGATCAAGTGCTGGCTAGGTGTTACACCCGGGTCAAATCAGATCTTCAAAGTGAAACACCTGGTGACCTCATAGGCTCACTCGTCTGCCCCGCTTGTGAATCAAGACTTAGGGTCGAACGAAAACCTTGTACTGGACTTCTGGACAGCGGTTCTCAAGTGACTACCATTTGCTGGTCTTTCTACAAGAAACATCTGTCCCATTTGCCAGTCGAGAGTTTAAAGAACATTCCATTGAAAAAACCTTGCCAAAAGAAGACAAGCAAAGGATCATCGGGAAGCTTCATGCTATGCTAGATGTGTTTTCTACTCATGATTATGACATTGGGAAGACAGAGCAGGCCACTCATGCCATTAAACTGACAGACAACTCACCATTCAGGGAGAGAGCTCGCCCAATACGACCCCAGGACTTTGAAGATTGTCGCCGCCACATACAACAGTCGATAGATGCTGATATCATTCAGCCTTCATCAAGTCCCTTTGCTAGTCCAATAGTCCTCATTCGCAAGAAGTCAGGAAAGCTAAGACTATGTGTGGACTACCGTAAGTTGAATTCTAGGACAATTCGGGATTCATATCCTATTCCAAAGGTTGAAGATCTCTTCGCAGCACTACATGGATCTGCATGGTTCACCCAGCTTGACGTTAAATCGGCCTTCTATGCTGTCCCAATGGATGAGGAATCAGCAAAGTACACTGCCTTTGTGTGCCCATTTGGACAGTTTGAATACAAGAGAATGAGCATGGGTCTTGTGAACAGCCCTCTGACGTTTCAACGCCTGATGGACCGGTGTGTAGGGGACATGAATCTTAAGGAGCTGGTCGTTTACATGGATGACCTCATTGTCTTCGCTGAAGATATCCCCACACATGAAGACCGCCTGTTCCAGACTCTTGCTCGACTTCGCAAGTTTGGCCTCAAGCTGGACCCTGAGAAGTGCAAGTTCCTTCAAACAACTGTGACCCACCTTGGTCATGTGTGTTCCAAAGAAGGAATATCACCAGACCCTAACAAAATTAACGTTGTAAAGGAATGGTCTGTCCCAACCAACATTGGTGAACTGAAAAGCTTCCTTGGGTTTGCAGGGTACTACCGTCGCTTTGTGGAAGGTTCAGTCCTCTCTGCAAACCATTAAATGCACTGACAGCCGGCTACATTCCAAGGAAGACCATGCTAGAACTCGGAAGAACTCCTGGGAAGAACAACCTCACCCTGAAGACGCCTTTTGGGGATAAGTGGACAGAGGAATGCCAAACAGCTTTTGAGAAGATCAAGGAAAAACTAACCACTCCTCCTGTGTTAGGCTATGCTGACCTGTCTGCACCTTTTGAACTCCACACTGACGCCAGTGGCACTGGACTCGGAGCTGTCCTTTACCAACAACAATGCGGTAGCCTGAAAGTCATCGCATATGCAAGCCGAGGTCTTTCTAAAAGTGAGGCAAATTATCCAGCACACAAGCGCGAATTTCTAGCATTGAAGTGGGCTGTTACTGACAAGTTCCATGACTACCTGTATGGTTAACATCAAGTATCGACCAGGACTGCAGATGACTGATGCAGATGCTTTAAGCCGCTTGCCACAGGAAGCTCAAGAAGAAGATCTAGAGTTTAAACAGGACACTGAAAGAATAGACTGGGTGATTGCTCGGAGCACACCCCTCGATGCTCCAGAATCTGGAGTGGTGGAGTGTTCCTCATGCTCAATCTGGGCTATTCTTCAATGTCATGGCATTCACAGCCACGCCCTAGGTAGAGGGTAGGCAGCAAGGGAATCTCAAAGAAACAAGCAGGCAAGAAAAGAAGTGCATAGCATACTCTCAAAATGCTGCAATCTCCAGCACAGAAGAAACTGCCTTGGTGGAAGCTCTGTCCTGTTCCAAGAAAGCAGTTCCTGACAGTTTGGTCATGCCACCTACAGTCCATGATCGAGGGGCATCGTCAGTGGATTGGAAAACAGCGCAAGGCCTGGATTCGGAAATCTGTCAAATCATGTCAGTAATCAAATCAAAGGATGGATCAAAGCAGAGACATCCAAAATCCATCCTGACATGCATGTCTACCTGCGAGAACTGGAGAAGCTTGTAATTAAAGATGACATCCTCTACAGAATGGTCACTGATGCCAAGGGTATAGAACGACAACAGCTGGTCATCCCCAAACAATATCGCAAGGAGGCAATTCATGGAGTTCATGATCAAGTTGGACATCCCTGCAGCAACAGCACTTTATCCCTTGCCCGCCAGAGATTCTTCTGGCCATTCATGGCTACCTCCATCCAAACGTATTGTTCAAACTGTGAAAGATGCATCAGGAGGAAAGCCAGGAAAGAAACTGCACCACTGGAAGCCATCTTACCATCTGTCCCACTTGAACTAGTCTGCATTGACTATCTGTCCATCGAACCAGACAATGGTGGCTTTGAAAACGTACTGGTGATCACGGACCACTTCACAAAGTACGCAATGGCAGTTCCAACAAAGGATCAGAAAGCTACCACTGTAGCCAAAGCTTTATGGGAAAACCTCATCTGTCACTATGGTTACCCTCAGCACCTATTGTCGGATCAAGGATGGGACTTTGAATCAAAAGTTATCTAGAAGTTGCGCGATATGGCTGGCATCAAGAAAATAAGAACGTCACCATACAACCCAAGGTGCAATGGTGTAACCGAAAGGATGAATCGTACACTCTTGGATATGCTTGGCACTCTCAACCACAGCCAAAAGAAAGACTGGAGAAAATATGTTGGACCTCTAGCCCATGCGTACAACTGCATTGTACATGACACCACAGGCTACTCACCATACTACCTCATGTTCGGCCGTCATGCACGCCTACCAGTAGACATGGTGTTTGGAACAGATCCTGACAGCAGGACTTCAAAAGGACCTCAACAGTATGTCAAAGATCTGCGGGACCGACTCCAGTTTGCATTCCAAGTGGCCAGGGAGAATGCCAAAAAGTCAGCGATTCGCAACAAGGGCTACTATGACCGAAAAGCTCATGCAGCAGCATTGGAACCAGATGACCGGGTGCTTGTCCGCAACATTGGGGTCAAAGGAAAACATAAGATCGCTGACAGATGGAAGTCGGGAGTCTACATTGTCGAACGTCACCAAGGTGAACTGCCTGTCTATGTTGTTCGACCAGAAAATGGAGACGGGCCCTCAAAGACTTACCATCGCAACCTCTTACTTCCTGTTGGTTCATTGCCCCTAGATATGGATGAACCAGAAAGAAACCAGTGTCACAGGCAGCCTGTCACCAGATCCAGAGCCCTAAATCATCAACCGGAGGACACCTTGGAATCCTCTGAAGATGAACTACACACTGTCAATGTATGGTATCCACAGCCTGACACCATTGAAGCTGTACCCACTAGCAGCTTGAACCCTGAGGCTCGACCCTTTGAACCACAAGAGCAGGCGCTGCCATACACACAACCTACTGTAGAGGAAGTCCCTGCTATCCAAGTGGTTCCCGGTATGCAGAATGAGGCAACCACTGCAGGACCCCTCACCTGGGAAATGGTTGCAGTGGAAGCTGAAGCTGCTCCATCAGAACCCATGGAGAGTGGGGACTCAGGAGAACTACATGGGAGAGAAGATGGGCTGCCTGAAGATCTGGACAATGAGGATACATCGCTCATCGCTCCTTGTGATCCGGTAGAATCATCTGGTGGTGAGCCAGACCTATCTGAGAACTCTGTGGACTCTGCTATAAGTGATCCAGTTGCTGCGGACAGGCCACTCCCGTCTCTCCCCTGTGAGGAGACTGTTATCATGACCTTGCCGGAAGCTCCTCGTAGATCCCAGCGCCAGCGACGAAGCACTAGGTTCTTTTCCTGGGATCCATTTACGAAGAAGTATTGTCAGGTCATACATGTGTGATACAAGAGGGTTACGAATGATTGTTCAGCTGAAGCATTGTTTAATCATGTATTTGTATTTACCAATATCAATCCGGGTTACAAAATTTCCTGAAAGGGGGGGAGAGTGTAAAGGCTGGATATTTTGTCCTAGTCTCTTGCACAAGTAACCCAATATCCTGCCCTTTACCAGTTATCTGATAGGGTTCTGGGGCTCAAGGCACTGGTGCCATGGTTTCCATAGCAACAATTTTTAGCCAATCCCCAGGGGCTATGTTGTCACATGACAGGGGCAAGAGGGAGCGTGGGACCCCCAAGCCTGAAATCTTCCTCTTTCTGCCTGCACTGTCGTTGTTTTTTAGGTGTACGGAAGTGTACAAAACTAGGTCGTCAGCGCAGTCAAATTGGTTAATAAAATGACAACAAATGCACGTGCGAAAATGAGAGGGAAACTCAAACGTCTATCATCCAAGATGTCACTATCTCATGTTTTATCTTGGTAAGAATAATTTTAAAAACGAGTACAAATATTTTTTTAAAGAAACACATTCATTCAGTGTAATGTGTTAGCCAATCAGATCGCCGGAGGTAGTGAAGTCAAGCGCTGACGAGCTAGTTTTGTATACTTCCGGCACAGCAACTCGGTCTTTGGCGATTTAATAAAACCCATCAAATGCATCCCCACGGAAAGCGCATGTATATGCCTCCTACATACATCGGAGATATCGACAAAAGCTTTTGATACTCGTGAGACCTTTAAAATACGATATATTCATTGACATGTGCGTAATTGTCCGGTTTTCGATCATGTCACCGTATTTCTGTGATGAACCCTTATGTATTATATAGTAGGGGGTGTTGATACTAAACCGGGGCCTAGTTTATCGATTTTCTGACCCGCAGTGGGGGCCTGTGGTCTGGCGTTACGCAATCAAACGTAATATTTCAGGATATTCAGCATTTGAATATTGTTTATTTTCTGAACAAGATTATTTTCTCGTTCTCTTCGCGTCTGGCGTTACGCAATCAAATGTACTATTTCTACATGTTGTTACCTCAATCATGTTTTAGTATGTTTCCCCATTTGATGTGAAAGTGAAGTCACAGTTTATTCAATAATAATATAATATATCATATTATATGGCCAATAATATACCTACAAATTGTAGTAATATAAATCATGTAATATCCGTTTATTACATATTATCAATTTACTTACTACAATTAGGTGTTCATTCTGGGTAGCCCCAAATGGTTTACCTACTGGGTGTATCGACATTCTGTTTGGAGCTAGCCTCATATTGACTAGTATGATCATCCAACAGGCAGTCATACCCCATTTCCCTTAGCCACATGTGTCGTACAGGCCAGGTGTCCTGTCGTGGCTATTGTTTATATCAATCAAACCGGTTTTCATATATTCCAAATGTGTTGGGTATAAATTTTGCCCCACTTTGTATATATGTATTTTTATATTTCCCATTGGCCCTTAAAGTTAATGTGACGTTCACCTCACCTCAGGTGGGGTCCTATGTAAATCCTCTGATAGGAGGGGTGTGACGATTCTTTTGGGTTATATAATTAAAGTTATTTATGTAAATACTCTTTGGGATTGTGTGCTCATATATGCACATATGCTTTTGTACCAATATTGTATTTATTTGTCCTTTAATAATATTGTTTCCCCTAATAAGTATTGTCGTCACATCCTATATATCAGTCGGATTATTGTTGATTTTCATAATTGTATCTGTACAATGGCTCTTTCTGCCTGCACTGTCGAGGGGACAACAAGCCAACTTGTTTTTTAGGTTTCACCTGGACTGTGCAGTCGGAACTTGCAACTCTGTTTAATACATATTATTACTGTCTTTCTGTGTTGTGTCATCTTTGACTGTAGGGCTACGTGCAATAGAAACACTTGCCCATCCCTTTTCCCGTGAGACGTAATTGTTACGCAACCACAGCAATTACCCAAGTCTTACATATGCATAGTAGTCCACAAGTTGCACACTTCAGCTAGTGTATTGCAGGAACGTTCCTTATATTTCAGGTGTGTGCTAACAGTCTTAGTTTTCCTTTGTTTCTTTACAATCCAGTAGAATTCAGCAATATCTACAGTAACTTCACATGCTGAGTTTATTTCCACATACTTTTTCTTTATTCCACTGTCTCTCAGCTTGTCTTTTACAACGCCGAAAGTCACATTTAGCCTGTTTGTATAGGGTGTACGAGTCGTTCCCGGCACCTCTGGGCCTGCCTTCAGCTGACCAATTTCTCTTTGCTTGGCGCATCCTGTAGAGATAGGGATCGAGATTGGACCGTTTCCAGTAAGGTTTCTGGTACGGCCTATAGTGTCCACGTGGTATGTGCTCATCAGCAGAATTCTTTAGTGCACCGACAATGGTGTCAAAGTAACTCTCTATCATATTTGCTCCTAAAGCCCCAGTGACTGGCGTTATGTCACCTAGTATTCTGTATACCTCGGCTTCGAACATACCAAGTTGTAGCTGACTAGCTTTTGACCATTTGTGTGGAGTAGATGGCATACCAGCTTTACATGTAGTACTAGTGAGCTTGTCGAGATGAAGGGATGCAAGGACAGGGAAATGATCAGATACATGGAAAGGGGGTTGATGACCGAGAGTTCCAGATGTTCGGGCACAAATATATAGTCAATAATGGAGGATTGTGTGTAACTTTTGTTTCTCCATGTTATCATTTGTCCCACTACTTTGCCGCTGCTATAGGAAGGTACCATATTCCGCACAGATAGATACTGTTGAAGTAATTAAATGTGATCTATGCTAGGTTTGATTATTGATAATGTCTGTGTTAAAGTCGCCGCACAAGATAGTGTACTGTAGATAGTTTCAGAGAGTTCATCAACAATGTCAAATGTTTCCCTTAGCCGCTCTTGATAGCTAGACACAGTGCTATTGGTAGAAGGGAGATGTGTACATACAACAGATATGTCTACAAGGTTGGGCCTAGACAATCGTACAGCAATCACTGAGTCATATTCAGGGACATAGGTGCGTATATCACTGAACGAGTCTTTATTCACTAAGATAGCAACTCCGCCCTCGCCTCTGTGACCCTTTTGATCTTCTTTAATATTGACCGCTGTGTCATAAGACGAGCCAAGGGTCTCGAAAAATCTCTGCGTTCTATTCGTCAAACAGTGTTCAGAAACAGTTAAGTCATCACATTTGTCAGCAATGTGAACAGCGCACCTCTGATATTCCAAGTGCCGATGCTTTTCATCAACAGTAAACGGTACAATCTAAACATATTTATGTCTACTACCATCATCGGGCCGCGGGTAGGGTACCCATTCACAGCACTTCACATTTTGGGGCCATAAAAGCTCGTTTTTAAGAACTTTATGAGCGAATCGAGTATCAATGTTGATCCGAAGTGTATACGTCGGTTGAGCACCGGTCCAGTGTTTCAGGAGTCTGACCAGGCCGACATGGACATCGTGCCTTTTGGCGTATGCCACAATAGCACCATGCACTACTTCATATGGACTATCCACTTTGACATTTGATAGTACGAGTCTTTTTCGGTTTAATCTGGGTGAAGCACCCTTGAAGGTCTCTCCCATTCACTGTCAAACTTGATGGTTCTTTGTGAACGATACTTATCCTTGTTAGGACACTGTCTGTGCTCTTGTAGAGTTCACTATGTTCATGTTGCTTGTCCCTTGTCTGAGTCTGAGGTTCACGAGACGAGCTCAGAATTAAGTCACTGCTATCGTCTGCAAATACTCCATCCCCACTGGCGGAAGTATTTTCTGTCTGCAGATTTAAGGGTGTGTAAGGCTGCATACTGCTGGTTTCATTAGCTTTGGGTGACGTGCGCATACGGGGACTTGTTAATGATATTAATGACTTGTCTATCTCTGTTATTCATTGAATTGAGTTTCCCATCTATATCTTTTGTTCTGCGAGTGACTGTGTCAATAGTTGTTTTTAGTTCATCTTTTAGGAGGCTGATCTGTGAGTCTTTATCCTTCATTTGATTTACTAAGATCATAATATCACTGCGTAGTTTTAGTTCAGTGTTGCAAGTTTTTCTATTTCTCTGCTGGCATTTATCAGATCGTTAATTTTCTCCTCTAATGATCGATTAACGGTTTTGATGTTTAGATCAAAATTCTCACTCAGATGTTCAATTTTGCGGTCAACAGACTGAGAATGTTCCATTTAGCAATCATGCATTTCTAAAACCTTTGCAAACATAAGTGATGTGATGTCAGTATTTTTCTGTGATTCTTTTTTTTTGGCTCGGGACAGAATCAGAGCTAGTATAATTTGGATTTCGCCACTTTGACTTGTTTAACACTTCTTTAAGGAGTACATCTGGGTGTACAGATCCTGTTATGAACCCGTAAAGATAGAAAACATCAGAAGCATATTTTTCTGCTACACGTTTTCTTGAGTTTTCTCTTTGCACCCTCTTCATCAAATATCCATTAGGCACATTATCACATGTCTCTCTGACTATATCATAAAAAATGTATCTCACCTCGTTGAGTTTGTCTTCATCCTCTGCATATAGCTCGACCAGTTCATTTTCGAATGAATCTTGTCAAGCTGGATTATTGCAACTCACTACTGTACGGAGTTGGAAACATCGAACGTCTGCAGAAAGTCCAAAACATAGCAGCGAGAGTGATCGCCACGACCCAGCCAAAGGAACACACCACACTAGTCCTTAAACAAGTACACTGGTTCTTCCAAAATTAAATGCATGTAAGTTTTCAAAACATAACTGGACAATTACTCTTTACTCCCCTGATCTCATTGTAGGCATTAGTGCACACTAATTGGAACAGACTACTTGTGTGCAGGTAAGCCTATTGCTGTCACAACAAACGTTGTAGCTATTATTCCCTGTAGCTATTTTCCCCTGTAGGCATGTGTAGACCTAACCCATCAAACAGTGAAATACACATGATGAGGCGCTTGAAACTTGTGTAACAAAAGAATTTTACATTTAGAAAACATTTATCAA